CACCTCATCACTTGAGTACCCTTAATGCCAAACACTTTCAATTGAATTGCCACAAAAAATTTGTACCAAAAAAAAAAAAGACGAAACAAACATAAAACTCGTGTTTGTTATTTATTGGGTGTATGGATTACAAGCAAAAATACAAATAAGCACATACATGTACACATACTCAGATAACTGAGTTCGAACAACAATTGCGGAATTAATTAAACATTTCACTTGCAACAATCGATTTGCCTTTTTTTTCCCTGATTTTAATTTAAATTTTAAATGGAATTTTTCTGATTTCACACATTTCATAATATACTCGTAATGTGTAGCATTACTTTTAGCATAATTATTATGAAGTGAAAGAAATTTATATTGAAATCGAAAAGACCTCATCAGTGTGTATGAAATCTCTAGCCAGGCGTTGTTTAATTTGCACTATATTTATTAAAAAATATTAAAAATTCGTATGGTACAGCAATGTAAACCTCACGTTGGGCGCCATATTCATATGAATACTTTACTTTTGGCCAAATTTCATTTAGTCCATGTCTAAAAAAATCCTTAATTTGGGAAGTCATTCCTGTTTTCCTTGGTGGGTTCCGTGTCATTTTGATAGCGCGAAGGAATAGACCTGCGCTTTAATATAAGATTTAAAACGTTTATAATTTTTCTTAACGTGCAGGGTATTTCATTCTTCTGGTGGAAATGTATGAAATTATTGCTTGGGCGCCATTTGAAAACGACTTTGAAGAACCAGATATGAATATTCCAATCATAAGCTTTTGGAACTAATAGCGATTATCTCTCCTAAATTCTTCTGCCCCAACATCAGATTTAGTTCTTCAATTTCTCATCCCGGGGGCTCTTCGCAGTACATTCCATGTGAACCCCCCCTCTTTGGCCATGCCTCACATTAAAGTTCATTGCATGAATGGCGACAAAGTCTCAAATCGTTCTAAATGGATCACTTAACTGTCAATGACTTTTCTGATACTCTGATTTCATTGTTGACAATGACAACACTTCAAACGTCAAACGTTATTGTCTGTTGCTGGCATCGTTCGGCATCGGCATGGCAGGCAACGAAAAGCGCCATTTAAGCCCATGCCCAAGTATTTGAGTTAAAGATTAAACTTCGTGCATAATGCCACTTGATTGCGTTTTGCTGCTCTTGACATTCAACGTTTTGTTGTTGTCGGGAGTCATGATGGGAGAGAGGGAGAGAGAGAACGATTGGAAAAGAGTAAAATATGACAATGAAAAGTTCTGGATATGCCTTAAAAAGTAAAACTTTAAAGTGAACCGTTTGAAAGGATAACAGTCCTTCAGTGCTGAACACTGAGGAGTATGGGTAATATGGTGTTGCTTTTAACTTCAGAGTCAATCAGACATCATGGCAGCGAAAGGATATAAACTGTCTGTCTGGAAGACTGTCTGGATAGCTCTTTTTTGTTTTTTACTTCCCTGCAAAAGGAAAATGAATAAAAATCGATTTACGAATAGTTCAAAACATGCACACAAACATATCTGTTTTGTATCCTGTTCGTGCAAGCTGAAGGATTGCTGGCATGGATAAAATGCATATCCTTCTAAAGTTTTATGACGACAGTTGTCTTTGGAAATTTATGGATATTTATTATGAGTTTTTTGTTTCTTCCACGAATCGCAATGAGTAAGTCTGCATGTGGGTGGTGCCATAGGAACTCAGTTTTATTTATTCCGTCCTCCCAGTCCATAAAACTTAAGACAAAAGACTTTCGCTTTAGTAAGTAAGGAATTTGTGCGAATAAATGCATTTTCTTTGTGTCTGCTGTCGACGACAATGATGATGATGAATAATTTACATTGTCTAACTGACATTGAACATGAAATAAGAAGCAATAATCACTTAATCCGGATGATTCATTGGCACTTCCTAATCTTCAAGGAAGGAAAAAATTCAAAGAAAAAGATAATTATTTCTTTGGAACTTTAACATTTATTCAAATCTAAATGAATCCGTAAAAACTTTGAAGCAAGAGAGAGAGAGTTCATAAATAAGTTGCCCAAATAAGTTTTGGTCATGGCTTTGGAACTTGAATAGAATATTTTTTTCTGGATAAAAGAGTAACTCAGACCTGCCTAATTTCTTATATCAAAATCCAACAACAGATTTGAAATATAACATGTCTTATAAAGTACATCTTATCGTTGGGTGCCATTTGATTTCTAATTCAATGTCGATGCGCCCTCCACATACCGATTTCCTCTGTAAAATGGTTCTAACATTTATGTATCACAAGCTAAGAGTTATCTCTTGACAAACTAATTCATGGTTGGGCGCCATTTTAGGGCTGGCCACAATTTTGTGGCGATTAAAGCTTTTCTGTCATAAACTCTTAGTCTAATCCTAGTATCTGGTCGTCTTGAACTAATCTATGTGCGGGTCCGTTGTTGGGCCTCATTTTATTGATAATTTAATGTCGATGCGCCCTCTAAATATAGATTTTTTCATCATAATCTAAGAGTTTGAGCTTGACGAACAAATTCATGGTTGGGCGCCATTTTGTGGTGTTTTAAAGTGGATGATCGTCCATTCAAAGGTTTCCTGTGATATAGTGTTAGTCTAACCCTTGTTTTTGCTTGTTTGAACTAATTTATGTTCGGGCCCATCGTTGGGCGCCATTTTATTGCCAACTTTAAGTCAATAGTGTATTCTGCTCGAAATGTTTGTTATATTTTTCTATGCCAATCCTAGGCTCTGATTTTCTTGACCTATTAAAGTGGAAGCCATTGGGTGCCATCAAATCAAGTCGACTCCTTCGTGGCTCATTTTTTCCTGTGGTAAACAGCTGTTCCAATTTACGATGCCACTCTATGGAAGGGATTCACAGAATGTACAGGGTGAGATGAAAAACCTGCACCCAACTTCAGACTGCTGTCATTTCCAAACCACTTGTCCGACAGCTGTTAAAATTATTCCAGTGACAGCTCATTGTATCGTTCACAAGCGTGCAAAAGCGTTTTGGTGAGAATTTTCCAGAAAAGAAGTTATTCGTGATGGAATTGAAGCGTGATAGTGTGATTTCTTTATCTTTGGCTGGAAAACCACAAGTGGCTACTCCAGAATTTAAACGTGAATAAACCTTTTGTGTCCCGTACCATCGCTCGTTACCATGATACTGGTAGCGTAGGGCTCATGAGCTGAACATATCGCAATAGTCCACTCGGCAAATATTGAAAAATGGATAAAGCCATTGAAATTCCAAAAAGCACAAGAACTTACACCACAACAGAAAGAATATAGACGCACAAGAACTAAAAAGTGGCTTCGTTTGGCCGAAAGCGGTGAGCTGCCGAATTTGGTTTACCCGATGAGAAAACATTCGTTGTCCAGCAGTTGGAAAACAAACAAAATGATCGTGTTTACTTGCCAAGGAGGTTAGCTGAAAATGTGCACCTTCGGTTGGCCACCAGAACTCAAGCGCCCGACATGGCGATGGTGTGGGCCGCCATAACAGCCGATGGTCGCTCTGCGCTCGTATTGTTAGCAAGGACGGTTGTGGCATCAGAATAAATGCTGAATATTATCGCGAAAATATTCTGGAGGGTGTATTAAAGCCTTGGGTACGCAAACAGACCTTGTACAGGACTCAGCAAGCATCGCCAACAGCACGCGCCACCCAAGAATGGTTACAAAATGAGGTTCCTCGCTTCATTTCCAGCGCACAATGGCCACCAAAATCTCCGGATACCAATTCGTGGGACTATTATGTCTGGAGTATTTGGGAAAGCAAGGATGGCACTAAAAACTACCAAAGTGTCGATCACCTAAAGCAAGCGCTTCGCAGAGAATGGGCCAAAATACCGCAGAGCAGCATTCGGGCAGCGTGTGACGGTTTCATTGGCCGTTTGAAGGCCATAATTCGTACCAAAGCTGACCAATTCGAACAAATCTAAACTTATTCTAACATTTGATGCTATTTCCGACATTTTTTGCTTTCATTTAATAAACTTTAAAGAAATGTGTTAACATTATGGCTTTTGACTTTGTTGCAGTTTTTTTTATCTCATCGTGTATACCCTCTCTAGTCATATGGCTGAGGGTATAACACATTTTGTTTTAATGCCCAAAAATGAAATAGCACCCAATAACACCCTCAATGTCTTAGAGAGTAATATACACAGTATTCCTTGGGCGCCATTTGCTTTGCAAATTAGTTTGTGAATTGTTTCAAATTTCGTATTCAAAGATCGTAATAGGTAGTGCAGGCTATGAAAAAAATTTTCGTATGAGATTCCACGTCTTCGTATTGCCCCCATATAACGATATTCGGTATTTTGATGATTTTAGCTTTTTATTCACGGGAATTGTTTTGAATTTCGTATTTGAGGTTTTTAAATGGGTGCTACAGCCTATTACAAAAAAAATACTTATGCAGGCCCACTCCTTCGTATAGCCCCCGTATAAAGGTCATCATTTAAACGGAATGTTTTGAACATTTTCAAGTTCCTTCCAAATGGTTCAGGGTATTAAAAGTTCGGCCTGGCCGAACTTAGCTGCTTTTTTTACTGGTTTATTCTGAAATTTTGTTAAAGTGACATTTTAGATTAATTGGTTAGTCCCATGTCTGAATTAGTTATCATAAACATTAAACGTTTTCCGTTTTTTATCGCCGTAAGATGATAAAATTCCCATTGAAAAAAATTCCAGGCACTTAATTTTTAATATTTTTTCTTCACACATAAAATAAAGACCTAATTTTGATCACACCCCAGAGATTTATTAAAAGTCATAAAAAATCCATTGGTTTTATTTCAAATTGTTTTCATTCAGAGGTCAACTAGATGTCAACGGTAAGAAACTGTAAATTTGTCCCTAGGTTGACTGGGGATATTAAAAACCCATAAAACTCACTTGAATACCGTTATTTTACATCATCTCCCTCCCTCTCTCTCTTCCTTGTCGTATTAAAAACCCATAAAACTTTTTTTAACATCACTTTTCTATCTTCTCTCTATTTTTTCAGATCCAAACAACGAATTGCAGGCATTATTGAAATTAATTGCCGCTTGTTAACACCACGACCACCACCACCACGACCACAAAGCCGCTTATCTTCTGGCTCGTAATGGCAATGAATGCGAGTCAGTTGGATTTAACAAAGAATTATGTTTGGTCTAGACAATAAATTGTAAAAATTATTCGTTTTTACTCGTTTCCCCCCAAACCCCTGCCCCAACTTCGTTAACGATTATAATTTTAAAAGCGCGGAAGTAAGCAATCGCAACTAGGAACTCTAACGAAAAAAGTAGCCAAAAAATTGTTGGCGAGAACGCAAAGAAATTTTTAAGAAAACCAAACCAAAAATAAAACGACAAACATGGCGATGCTCTTGGAAGCAAGGCCATATCGACCCTTCAAGTCGAGTGAAGAATACTTGGAAGCGATGAAGGAAGATTTGGCCGAATGGATGAACACATTATATCCCGAATTGGCAATAAATGCAGAAAACTTTATGGATCGATTGGATACGGGTGTAGCATTGTGCAAGGTAAGTTGATTTAAATGAAAATGAAATGCTATTTAGTTTTTAGGAGATATGCTAAGGAATTAACGTGGTCCGAAGCCAATGACCAAAATGGTTGTAAATTTCCACCTCCGTATCAATATCAAAAGGCTTTCGAAATATATTTTTCTTTTACATTTTTAAGTAGCCCGAGGCCATTTTTATACCCTCTGCCATATGGCTAGAAAGGAGGTATATATCATTGACACAGCCAAAACGTGCCTCATCGAAATAACGTTTTTAGACGTTTTTAGGTTTCTTTGGACCAAATCCGTTCGTCCGTCTGTCTGTCTGGTTGGTACGCACGATAACTCTCGAAGGGGGCATCCGATTTGATCCAAACTTGGTACATCGTAATATTGTTATTAAACTAAGATCGAGTTCAGAGATGGGCAATATCGGGCCACTCCATTTGGTACCTCCCCAACAAAGGTGAAAAATAAAATAAAGATTTTACTACTCAGAAAGAGAAAGAATAATCCAATTTTGCTCCAACTTCTCAAATCCTAATATTTGCATCAGTGCTAGGTCAAGTGCGAAAATGGACAATATCGGTAAACTCCATCAAGTACCTCCCCCACAAAGGGTCAAAATTTTGAAAAATTATAACTCTTATAAAATGTAATATAAGAGTTCGATTGTCTTCAAATTAGACACATCACAATATTTTTATTAACCCAAAGTCTGGTGTGAAGATAGTACCTCCCCCACAACAGGTCAAAATTTTGAATAACCAAAACGATCATACATCCGAAATAAAAGTCTGCTTCTCTTCAAATTACATACATCACAAATTTTTTGTTAATCCAAGGTGGATTATATCGGTCTACTCCTTAACCAAATCGATTACAAAATTTGAAATAAGAATCCGGTTCTCCTCATACTACACACATCCCATTATTTCTACTAATACAAGATCTGCTAGGAAGGTAGGATATATCGGCCCACTCCTTCTGGTACCTCCCCCACAAAGGGTCAAAATTTTGAATATCCATGAAGCTCATAAAATGGGAAATTAACATCCGATTCCATTCAGACTTACAACTCAATATTACTATTGACACCAGATCTTTTGTAAAGATGGTAGATACCGGAATATTCCTTCTGGTACCTCCCCCACAAAAGGTCAACATTTTGAATAACCAAAACGATTATATAATCCGAAGTAAGAATCCGGTCCTCTTTATATTTCACACATCCCATTATTTCTAATAACACAAAATCTGCTGTAAAGATGGGATATATCGGTTCACCCCTTCTAGTAACTCCCTCATAACGGGTTGGAATAGCCATGAAGCTCATAAATCACGAAATTAACATCCGATTTCATTCAGACTTGGTACGTCTCTATTTTTCTATCAGCACATGATCTGTTATTAAAGAGGTAGAGATCGAACCGTTTCTTCTGGTACCTCCCCCACCAAAGGTCAAAATTTTGAATAACCAAAACGATTATATGATCCGAAATAAGCGCCCGGACTTCTTTATATTTCACACATCCATTATTTCTACCTACACAAAATCTGCTGTGAAGATGGAAAATGTCGGTGCACCCCTTCTTGTACCTCCCCATATAGGGTCAAAATTTTGAATATCCATGAAGCTCATAAAACGCGGAATTAGCATCCGATTTCATTCAGACTTGGTACATCTCAATATTTCTATCAGTACAAGATCTATTATAAAGATGGTAGAGATCGGACCATTTCCTCTGGTGCCTCCCCCACAAAGGGTCACAATTTTGGATATTCACGAAGCTCATAAAACGTGAAATTAACACCCGATTCCAGACTTGGTACATCTCAATATTTTTATCAACACAAGATCTTTTGTAAAAATGAGAGAGATCGGACCATTACTTCTGGTATCTCCCTCACAAAGGGTCCAGGTTTTGATTAACAATATCCATTATTAAATCCGAAATAAGCACCCGGTTCTCTTGAAATTACACACATCGCAACATTTTTATTAATTCAAGGTCTGGTAGGAAGATGGGATATATCGGTCCACTCCTTTCGGTACCTCCTCCACAACGGGTCAGAATTTTGAATAGCCATGAAGCTCATAAAACGTAAAAACAAGTAACAATGCTATAAGTTCGGCTATAAAAAAATCCTCCACCATTTGGAACGAATTTGGCAATTTTCAAAAAAAAAAAATCCGTTAAAAAAAAAACTCTGTTAAGATCTTAAAAATACCGAATGCAGCTATTATATTAAGGTCTATACGACGACGTGGACCTGCATAGGCAACTTTTGTCATAAGCTATTACAATATTCAATTGCGAAATTTGAAAAAAAAATTGGTGAATAATGTAGCATCAAAATACCGAATATCGGGAGATACCGTTATATGGGGGCTATACGAAGACGTGAACCTGCACAGACAATTTTCTGTCATAGGTTGTAGTATCCATTACGAACTTCAAATACCAAATTTGAAACAATTCCGGTAAAAAATGTCGCTTAAATCATTAAAGTACCGAATATCGGGAGGTACAGTTATATGGGGGCTATACGAAGACGTGGTTCTGCAAAGAAAATTATCTGTCATAGGCTGTAGTATCCATTACTTACTTCAAATACAAAATTTGAAATAATTCCGGTAAAAAATGTCGCTAAAATCATCAAAATACCGAATACCGGGAGGTACCGTTATATGGCGGTCTATACAAAAACGTGGACCTAAATGGCCCATTTTCAATACCAAAAGTCCTGTAGACATAATATACATTTGAGTAAAATTCTATCGACCTGCTTCAATTCGTTTGGAAGCTAGAGTAACTTCCACAGCGTCCCCAATTGCCAGATCCGCGTTCTTCCCAACAAATCTGTGCTGCAGATCATTAAAAATCAAACAAAAAGTGAAATACCGTTTTCCTACAACACTGCCATTCATCTTCGGTGAGAGAAAAAAACCTCCATTGCGTAGACCAAACAATTGAATTATGCGTCGATTTGTCGAAGTTTAAAACAACAAGTAAAATAGTATCAGTCGTTTTTGCCGACAGATGTATACCCCCAGCCTTGAGTTATGAACGTGACAGATTTGGACTATATCGCCTATATTGGTATATGCAAAATTTGAAGGAAATTGAACATTCGTATCCATTTTATGCGAAATCATAAATTCCGACAAATTACATATTCATATCAGAATACTGGTTAAGAGAAATATTTAGATATAGCAAGTTGTTAAGAATCACCGACTTGTTTCGCAAGTTATGACAATTATAAGTTGGCAGATCTTGTGTTGATGAAAATATTGAGAAGCTTCAAGTCTGAATAGAATCGGATGTTAATTTTGCGTTTTATGAGCTTCGTGGATACTCAAAATTTTGATCTTTTGTGGGGGAGGTACCAGAAGGAGTGTACCGATGTATCCCATCTTCACACCAGAGCATGACTTAGTAGAAATATTGGGACGTGTGCAATATGAAGAGAACCGGATGTTTATTTCGGATTCTTTCCTCGTTTTGATTATTCAAAACTGTCATCCTTTGTGTGGGAGGTACCAGAACGAATGTTCCGATTTCTACCATCTTTATATAAGATCTTGCGTTTATAAAAATATTGAGACGTGCTAATTCTGAATGGAATCGGATGTTAATTTAGTGTTTTAAGAGCTTGATGGATATTCAAAATTTCGACCTATTGTGGGGGAGGTACTTGATGGAGTGGACCGATATTATCCATTTTTGCACCTGATCTAGAACTGACGTAAATATCAGGATTAGCAAAGTTGGAACAAAATCGGATTATCGCTTCTCTTTCTGTGCAGAAAAAATATATTTTTTTGAAAATCTCGATCATTTGTGTGGGAGGTACCAGAAGGAGTGGACCGATATATTCCATCTTAACACCAGACCTTGGGTTACATTAAATATTGGGATGTGTGAAATTTGAAGACAATCGGACTCTTACATCAATTGTGTGAGAGTTTTAATTATTAAAAATATTGACCCTTTGTGGGGGAGGTACCAGAAGGAGTGGACCGATATTGCCCATCTCCGAACTCGATCTAAGTTTGACAAAAATATTACGATGTACCAAGTTTGGACCAAATCGGATACTCCCTTCGAGAGTTATCGTGCGCACCAGCCAGCCAGACAGACAGACAGACAGACAGACGGACGGACGGACGGACGGACGGACGGACGGACATCGCTAGATCGACTCCAAATGTTCTGAAACGGATTTGGTCCAAAGAGACCTAGGGTCTAAAACCGTTATTTCGACTAGGCACGTTTTGACCGTATCAAATGATATATACCCTCTGTAGCCATATGGCTGAGGGTATAAAAACATCGTTTAATGGCCATTTATTCGATGAAGTCGTTACTGCCTGACTTTATGACTGGCCACCAGTTAGCTGGCTGTCCAGTGGAGAGTAATTACAAAATGCATTTGCATGGTAATAAATAAAATTTACGCCTTTTAACATCGTTTGTTTGCCTTAGAGTTTGTTTTTATTCAAGAAGCGATAGCGGCCAGGAGCTATGGCTGGTCTGGGAAGAAGAAGGAGAAAAAAACACCAAAACAAAAAGACTAGATGCCAATACAAATAACACTTGTTAGCCAGAGGAGACGCATGATAACAACCGCCAGTGATGAAAAATGAAGAAGCTCAATACCGCTAGCTTTGAAGTCGGAATTTCCAAAGTTTTTTTTTCGACTTTTTCCTTGTCTTCATGGACCATATGTTGCAGATAGACCCGAGGGGTGGGGAAACATAGCCAAGGGAAAATGAGCGTCGAAAACACAACCCATTGCATTTGTTGGTCATATACCGCCCATTGATGTACACCATCAGCATCTGGCATCGGCGCTGTTACATTGAACGAACATATGTTGCTCTTACTTGGCTACTGGAAGTGCCGCACCATCAACGGCTTCTGTATTCCAATGTTTAATGCTTACACACATAAGTAGCATAATTGAATTGACTTCAAACATTATCTATGGCCGCTGGTGCTGGTGCTGCTG